CTGAGATAGAACGTGTTGCTGCCGGTGAAGTCGCTGTCCAATTGCGGTTTGAAGGTGCCAGTGAGAGAAATCTCTGCTCTACAGAAGAAGATCACCCCTTAGGTTGTTAGATCCGTCCATCATTTGCTCGGGTTCGTCGCTGTGAAGCATTCGCCGATGGTGGTTTGGTGAGGTCGCCGTTGGTGTTCCTTGGCTCAGATCCAACACTCAGGTAAGGTGTCTCCTCTTGAAAAATCAAATCTTCCCTCGTGCGTTTTCTTCTTCTCTATTGTGTCGAAATACTGCCTTCAATTTCCTGCTGCTCTTATCCTCTATCAATCATCCTAATATAATTCTCCTTTTCGACGTCTTCCAGGTTCATCAGCCTCCCCGTTCTATTCATTTTCAAATTTTCAAAGCTACGAAATTGAGATGCAATGTGAACTTCAGATTTGCAAGAGTTTGATCCATGGTTAAGGCTTTTCGAGTTTTCGTCCTCTTCTATTAATTTCGGTCTTGAGCAACTCCCCCCAGTTTCACTATCTGCAGTTTCTGGATCAAATCGTTGATTTGCACTGGACTTGTAACAATTTTGGTCTGTATTTTAGTTGGTTCATGCTTGTTCTGCCAACATGTTATGCATCGTCTGGTGGTCATTTTTTTTCTTGGTTCATAGATTTGTTTCCTTCTCAGATTTTGTCTGACTGTAGTTAATTTTCATTTCAGTGCTGGCTTGAGGGGGTGTTTGCTTGGTGCATAGCTGCTTTTGCTTAGTTCATAGTTGTGGTTGACGTTTGCTTCAATGGTGGGTTGATTTTCATTCTTGGGTTCATTTGTGTAGCTTGGTTTATTTCCTTCTTTGTTGAAACTGAAACATTGTGCTTGCTCTGGGTTCATCTGATTTTGGTTTGCTTCCTCTGTTGAAACCGAAACATCATGCTACATTCAAGGGTGATCTTTGCTTTTGGAGTCAGAGGACCGGTTTTTGGTCCATGTACTTGACTAGGTTTTCCAGATAGACATATATTTGTAATCCTTATAATTCATTCTTTATAATCCTGTTTTGAATGAAATTATCGAATGTTGTATTTTTGGTTATTAAAATTAATTTCTTTTATTTTTTTCTGGTCATGAAAGGAATATGAACATAGTTTCATTTTATGTTGGGTTAAAAAAATTAATTACATATTATAAATACAAAGATTGAGTTTCTATTTGTTTGAAATAATAATGAAGGAAAGAAAAATGTTAATATGGTATTCATAACTGATTTGGATAACAATAACACTTGTTATTTTAAATGATTTTGGGTTGATTAACTTGTGATGACTGAAGAGCTGTAATTGTTATATAGCATAATGAGTAAGGATAAGGTGAAAGCTTCCTGGGCTCTAAGAACCACAAAGGTGTTTATTGACCTGTGCATTGAACTAGTACAACAAGGGGAAAGAAAAGGTACAAACTTAACAAAGAAAGCTTGGGAAATTCTTGCTAATAAGTTTACTGCCAAAACTGAGAGAGCCTACACAAAACCTCAATTTAAGAACAAATATGATTCCCTACAAGAGGAGTGGCAGATATGGGATAGGTTGCTTCGCGAGACAAGTTTGGGATGGGATACTGAAAAGAATATGTCAGTGCAACTGATGATTGGTGGGAGAAGAAACTAGTGATAATTATTGAACCTTTTGATCTTACATTTTCTCTGCCTGTTAATGTTTTTTGTTTATTTACTGTTTTTTTGAATATTTTATAATATTATTGGTGTCTAATGTGTAGGAAGTTCCAAACTACAAAAAATTCAGAGAAAGAAGACTTCAATTTAGGGATGAATTAACTCAACTGTTTGGGAGTGTGGCTGTAACTGGACCACAAGCATGGGCACCTTCTTCCATGACACTTCCAAGTGAAGGAGCACCTGATGAAGATTTGGAAGAAGGGTCCAGAGATAGTGATGAAATTTTAGGTGCGTCAACTGGTATAAGTGGGGAATTTAATTCAGTGAACTTCAATGAGAATAGTGGAGGTAGTGGGGGCAACACTGGGATTAGGCAGGATAATAGTGGTGGGGGTACAAGCAGAGGTGGGGGTCGACCTAGTAACTCACTGGGGTTTAGAAGGAAGAGTGAAGTCATGAAGAAAAAACCATCTCCCTCTATGAAAATAGTGGATGCACTTAGTAGGATAGATGAAACAAATATTTCTGAGGCTCAACATCGAAATGAGGTCGTGTCACGAGCAGAACCTGGAAGGTTGGAAGAAGAACCACATGCTTATGAGACTAATTAAGGGAGTCCCGTCTCACCTCAAAACAGTTCTTGAAGTTGTCAGCGATCCTGATTTCTTTAGATGGTGCACACAACTCCTTATGGAATGGCTGAAGGTACGAAAAATGTATACAGCTCTAAAGGATTAGAAGAAACAACTTCTACCCATTTTGGAGCATTACACTAAGGATTTATGACTTGTTTATTATATTAGATAGTTCTTAGTGTGTATCGTTTTATGTGACTAGTGGATTGTTGTATGAATCAGACAATTCTGTTACTTTCTTAAATGTTTTGTAATTTCTACGTAAGGATTCTGAACTTTATGTGTATGTGCACAGGATAAAACAAAAATGGATGATGAAATTAAACTTGTGGAAGAACATGCTAAGGGACGAAAAAAAGGGTTAACGAAGTTGCAACATTAGTCAGTGCATCCGCTGCTTTGAACTTATGTAAAGAGCCTCAACATACAAGTGCTTATGCAGGCAGCTTATGGGTAAGGGACGTTTTAGATGGCAATCCCAGTCATTGTCATAACATGTTTAGGATGGAACAGGGTGTGTTCTTAATTCTGGTGGAAGAATTGTAGCAACATGGTCTAAAAGAAACAAAAAATATATGAATATATGAATCATTTGCAATGTTTTTACGTACCGTTGGCCATACACTTAGTAGCAGAATGCAACAAGAAAGATTTCAACATTCAGGAGAAACAATTAGTAGACATTTTCATAATGTCTTAATGGCACGCTGTAGACTTGTCATGTCTAATATCAAACCAAAAGATACAACATTCCGACGTGTTCATACAAAAATACGGTTTGGTAAATATTGGCCTTTTTTCAAACATGCTATTGGAGTAATTGATGTCACATATCTTTCCTGCGTTGTCAGTGCAACGGATCAAACTAAATTTATTTCTAGAAAAGGAACAGTGTCACAAAATGTCATGGCGGTCTATGATTGGGACATGTGTTTTACTTTTGTCTTGGCTGGATGGGAAGGTAGTGCACATGATGCTCGGATATTTGATCATGCCCTCACAACTCCTTCAATGAACTTTTCCCATCCACCTGAAGGTTTTTTTTATTTCCTACATTTTATTTAAATTTAGCTTAACAATAGAAGCATCATTTACAATAATTTCATTTTTGATATAGGAAAATATTATTTGATGGATGCTGGATACCCAACACCAAATGGATATCTTGGCCCATACAAATGAGAGCGTTACCATCTGCCCGATTTTCGAAGGACATTTACGTTTGAAAATGAAAATGAGGTCTTTAATTATTTCCATTCAAGTTTAAGGAGTACAGTTGAAAGAACTTTCAAAGTTTAGAAAAATAAGTTCACAATCTTATGAAACACGCCATCCTATGATTATGAAACACAAGTTTGCAACGATGACTATACATAATTTGATTAGAATGACATCTATTGCTGATCTTGGATTCGTTCAGTTCGAAGAAGAAGGTACTTATGCAGAAGAAGATGATGATGGAGTTGGATTTTCACATATACATTCATCAATTCAATCTTTATCTTACATGGCTCGGGTTCGTGACAGTATAAGAGACGAACTTGTTAATTCAATACGAGGATAGTAGTCATGTCTTATTTATTTCCTTTTATTATAGATTGTAATATGTAGTTAAAAAAAACCTATTACAAATGCTTTGTATCGATGCATCATCTTAATTATTACGACACTTCTTTATTTATATTCTTTTTATTAATGTTATACCTTATATTCTCATGCCAATTATTACTTACTTTAATAATTAATAAATTATTTTAAGGCGTGTTTACTCAGTTTTATAAAAAAATATCATCCCATTTCATGTTTTATAATCTTCACAGAAAATTAATAATTTTTTATTCACAATAAAATAATTCATCTTCTCCAAAAATATTTTTACTCTTATATTTTATAAATATATATACATGTAGTAACAATTAATTAATTAATTATATTAAAGATCAGAGGTAGTATGTTGTTACAAAAACTAGTTGCAAAAAAATGTTATGGGATTTCATATTTAAAATCTTTAAAGAAAATCAATATTTTTCTGTTAGCGAAAAAATAATTTTTCTATAAACATATTTAATATTATGTTTTATAAATATATGTATATATATTAATAAATAATTACATTTTTTTATATATTATTAATTATGTTGGTAAAAAATATATGATCAACAAATTTATTTCTTCAAATTCAAATATATTATAAAATCTATCTTTTATATAATTATCATATTAATTTATGCCACTTTTAATAATTTGTACATATAAAAAGTGTTTCTGATAACAACTATTCAAACACTCTCACTTTATTATAATCACTTTTTCACAAAATCTATTCTCCATAATCTATTTTCCAAACTATGATTTGGTTTTATCCAAACACTCTCTTAGTATTTTTAAATGAGCATGTTTTATCAAATTATTTTTATTTCCCAATATCAGTTATAATTTTTATCTTTAAAAAAAATCGATAAATTATGTGATTTTCTACCTACATGAAATAACATATTTTGTTATAAAAACCTTATGTTTTAGCTATAATAGCCATGTCATTATGGCTGATAATTACATTGATTCTATTATAAATTCTTACTCATTTAACGCTTGCCTAAAGCAGACAAGTACATTAAATTAAATCCATCAAATATATTAAATATATTTGACTTTATTTTCACCGCTTGGCTTTCACACCAAGTCAATTTAGTATTCTTATCAGTCTCGTCATCAACCTCTGTGCCCTGAGAGACCCGCTCAGGAAACGTACGATCTCGGATATCCGACGCCTTTTTCCTTCCTCTCTTCAAAATTGGCGCACCCTGAAGGATTTCGATTTTGGAGTGACGGAGATTCTTCGGTCGCTAGCTTCTTCACTTCTTATCGTTCTCTCTCAGTTTTTCCCTCTGGATTTCTTATTGAGGATGCGTCGCTCTACATCCAAGAAAGTGGGTCAATCCAATTCTAATTCCTCCCCCGCCGATCTCTTCCGCTCTGGTGATTGATTTCTCTTACAGCCCTTCCTCACAAATAATCTCGTATTTGGTGTCAAAACTTGTTTTTCTGGGCGACCAGGGTTGTTCTGTTCAATTGGAAGGGATGTTCTCTAAGCTTTGATTAAGTGTATTGTTTACTTCGTCTTCAATTTTATGTACTATGGTTTTTAAGGTTATTTTTATCAAATTTTTCCCCGTGGGATTGATTGTGTGTCAATGCCTGCGAACTTCCTGCTGGTCATTCTTCTTTTGTTTTAGGTTCCCTTCTCTTGAAAGGTTCATTTTTTCAGTTGATTATTTGAAAAGAAAATGTAAATTAGCAAGCTTTTCTTCTACTAGCCTATGATGTTGCCCTTTTATTTTTCTTCTGAAAAAAATGTAACTTTGGCTTGAATTGAATGATTTATGATGTTAAATACTCACCTATGTAAGTTGGGTTTTTGTGCAAGTGATCGGTTCTTCTACGGGAAGTGCAACATGTCCATGAATTTCTTTTAATCCCTTTTCTGAAATATCGGTCCTTCCTTCCTATTTGTATATTTCAATAGATATCCTGTCATTTTGTCGACAGCAATATGTTGTTTATAAAGTCAGCTGTCAGCATTTTCTGATTATTATCTATAAAGCAATCCCCAGTGAGGCAAGATTTGTTTTTCACTGTTTATAATTAAATAAGCATTTTTCCCCTCAGCTTCAAGTAAAGCAAGCTCCAAAGAATCAGAGCGGATTGATAGTCTGTTTTATTCATATGCCAATGCTTCTTCTGGTTTGATTGAGTAAGTATGCTTCATCCGATATTATGCTGTTTCTCTGTTGATATTTATGATTTATCATCATATATCTCAAATTATTTTATTCAAGAAATTTTTTGTAGTTCAAATTGAAGACATGGATATCTAGGAGGAAGTAATTCCTTCTTATGGGCTGCTATAATGGAACTGTTATGGAACATCTAATGTGGTTAGGGGAGTTTCATCAGTGTACTGCTTAGCTGATCTAGCCTAGGCTATGTATGAAAAACATAATAGGTGTAATGAAGCCCATGCAGGAGTTATTTGGTATGAGGAAGTGTTAAATCCCATGTAATAGTAGATGTACCGAAATTCAGGATATACTGTGTCAATCCCTGGACAAAGACAGACATTTATCACCTACTTTACCAGAAAATAAAAGATTTTCCCCCTTTAATTTGAAAGGGTGATCCATATTGTTGCTGATTAATTTTTTGGATACAGCCCAGAGGGAATTGAAGCACTTTGTGCTGATTTGGAGGTGGATCATACTGATGTGAGGATATTGATGCTTGCATGGTAACCCATTTTTACAGTCCATTGATTCCTTGTTATCATAGCTTTGTCTTCAGTCCGTGTTTAGAATTGATGGAGACTAATGTGTGCAGGAAAATGAAAGCTGAGAAGCAAGGATATTTTAACATGGTAAGAGGCAATTTTTATGTGCATATCAAAATCTGTTGTCCATGCTTACATAACTCCTCCTTTTTCTTTCTTTCTTTTTTGGGTGAGTTACATAACACTTCTTTAGGTATTCTCTTAAAAAGTTAGGAGCATAGTCCCTAATCAGAGTCTTGATTCAGCCCTTCTCTTTCTATTGGTTATTATATTTAAAATCCCTTTCCTTATCCTAACTATTTATAGGATGAGTGGAGGAGAGGCCTTAAAGCATTAAGGGCTGATACAATAAGTAAATTGAAGAAGTCACTTCCTGATCTAGAAAAAGAGGTATGTTGATCGAATTTTTATTCTTTTTGATGATATTCTGGAAAATTGCTTACTGTATTTGTCGATGATAGTATTGAGCTGATGACTATTGTTCTTTGAAATGTAAAGGTCTTGCGGCCATCAAATCTTTCTGATTTCTATTCTTATGCATTCCGATATTGTTTAACAGGTGCAGTGGATTTATGATGTAAAAATTAATTTTAGAAAAGTTATTTCCTTATTCTTCTTCACAATGTCTTTTCTCTAACCTCTAGTTTTTCCAATTTTTGCAGAAGAGAAGCAGAAAAGCATCGATATAGAGAGTGTTTGTGAATTACTTACTCTTGTATTGGGTTATCAATTTCCATCCCAAGTCAACTTATTTGTGGAATATTTAAAGGTGGGTATTATTTTTACGATGTTACTGTTATTTTTAACGAATTAAGAGAACCGTATAGGTACAGATAAAGCAGAACTGAACGAAGAAAGATAGAAAAGTAACTGAATTAGATTAAGCTCCTTCAATAACTTGTGCATGAGAAATCCGGTTTGATTTTAAAATATTTTTCTATTTCAATTAAAATACAGCTGATGTTCTAACAACTTCTCAATATTATTGAATAACAGAAAGAAAACAGAGTAGTTCTTCCATACACTCACAGTAGCAAATAGAGTCCTCAACGCTAACAAATAACAGCTTTAGAAGCAAAGGTTGAAGCAACAGTGATGCAACACCGAATAATAAAACAACAGCTAGGGAAGATCTTGGAATATCCCCTTCCTTTCATGAGACTAGAGACTCTACCAATCCAGACTGGAGTTCCCCTTACTTCTCTGCTCGCTGCTCAGCTCCCATCTCATACATATTTTGCTAACTATCATCTAGGAATGCCATTCCTGCGTCACCCAGCCCATGTAGTATGTGAACTGGGGAAACCTTATAACCATCACTACTCTCCCCCCCCCCCCCCCAAAAAAAAAAGAAAGGGTTTTCTTTTTCTTTTTTTGGGGGGGGGGGTGTTTATTATTTTTTCTGCCATAAACATTATTAGGTCTTGGCCCAACAGATTTTGGTTCAGCTATACCTGGCCAAACAAGTTTACCTTGTCTTTAAGCTGAAATGAGAAGTTTGGACGAGTTGCTTCTTTTCAATAGAACCTTGTGGTTGTTTCACAGAAGATCCATAACACGCATGTTCCAACCTTCATGGGAAGCAAGAACCACTAGCAATAGCATGGACGATGCATAGTCTTGATTCTTTATGCAAACCGCCAGATGTTACCATATCATAGCCATTATCCAAAGACACTCATCAATGCAACCACTAGGCCTCTTGAATGCCTCCAAAATCTTAATGCAGCGATCTTTGAAGATGAACCCAATTTGCTAAGTAATTGGGCCACCCTTCTGGCTGTAATTAAGCCCATGGTTGCCCGCCCAATTCAGTTTTAGGCTTCTAGCCAGTCTGACCTCTATGGCTCAATCCAAAATCCATTCACTCTTCTCTTTGCTCATATCATCTTCCTGTGCTGCCTTTATTGACAACAGAGGTAGTTGCTGGCTCCTGCCTTTGTATTTTTCTCCAGACTTCACATCATGACAGCAAAAGCCCAGCTTTCATCTATTGTCTGTTTTGATGTTTGGCAGGAGATGAGTTTTCTTCATTTTGCTCGATTTCTCTGCGGCAAACAACCTCATCTTCTCAATGTTCACACAATTGTTGATGAAATTAAAGACTTGGGTAATTCATCTGGGTTCAATTGCTTCACGAATCTCTGATTTCTTCTCTTTTGCGCTTTTCTTGATGATAGAAATATCAATGGATGCTTCTCTGATGGGCACCTTTAACTCTGTTCTATCTTCTTTGATTGCAATTTCAGTTTACTGCCACTTCCTCCACCTCTGTGGTAGAATGCAATACAGAAAATCAATACAACTGAAAACAGCCCCTAGCTTTCAAGGGGCTAGAAACTCTCATTCCTCGTTGAAATCTCAACTGTCCTATCTATTCAGCTCCCAGCACATATGTGTCATGCTGTTTTCTCAGTATTTCTTCCACTACTCTCCCACCCTCTATAGCATGTGAGGGTTCGTTAGACTTGGGACACCGCATTGATAGTTCCCCTTGGTTGGTTTATTTTTATTTGCTTTACGATGGATGGTACTGGGTTTTGGCCCAAATGAAGACCTTTATATGTTATTGTATTAGCAATGGTTGTTGTTTTTTTACCTTTGTTCTTTTTCATATTTGTTTCCTTTTGAAACGAGATATTATACCAGGGGAATAAGTAAACTGCACTAACTCTTTGGTTAATTTATTTTTGATGGACGCCTCCTTTATTTGCTTCTAATGTTGTAGCCAGTTAGAGTGGTTAAAATGAAAAGGAAAGGGATAAATATGTTAAAGGTTTGCATACATGTATTATTGCAGACTCAGAGTGATTACAAGGTCATAAACATGGATCAGTGGATGGGATTCTTCCGGTTTTGCAATGAGGTACTCTTTTCCTTTACTTTGCGAGATTTTAGGTGATAGTTATCCCGTAGGGAGATCTCTTTGTACCTTTCGCTGTGACACAAATGTCAAATTTTCATCTTATAAATTCTAATGTACTCTTGCTATCTATTTTTGCACTCGTTGATGCATCTCTTGATGCTCTCCTCAGAAACCCACAAGATTTATGTAAATCAAACTTTATGATCAAATGGCTATATTTACGCAGACATAATCATGTTCAATGTTTTTTTATATTGCAATGTTCAGTGAAAGTTCTGTCTAGGTTTAATTACTGGAGGTCACATAATTCAGTGTTGAGGGTTGATGAATGTATTGATGAACAACCTGTTTGTTTTGGTCGTAATGATTAAAGTGTGATCAAGCCTCCTTTCAAAATCTGTCCATTTACCATAATTGCATATGCTTGGCTGCAGACATGTAAATTTATACATGTCATACGTGCACACAAATTCTCTTATTGATAAATATCGGTGATTTGAAAAACCTTTTGAAACAAAGACGAGAGCTTAACATGTTGGACTATGTAAATATTGGTACTCAATGACTGAATGATGGTAATCTTTGTATTGAAAAAAGTAGGAAAAAGAAAACAAAATATCATTCTGTTTCTGCTTGCAAGGGAGAGCCTAATTTTCTACCCATTCCTGGAGCAAAAAGAAATGGTCCCAGCACTGCTTGAAGCAATCCCCCTTTTCCCCTTAATTCTATTTGCAAGAGAACCCTTCATTTCCTCAAATGAAGCACCTTTAGGAAAATAAGAAACGTTTCCTCCTACAAAAGTTGGACAAAACTGGTCTTTGGCAGAGTAGAAACTAGAAACTGTAGGCCTTCATTTTTTTCCCATGTTATTCTATTATTGCCATTATTAATTAAGCAATGTCAGATGGCTTTACTGGATGTGTTCTTTCTTGTTTGTTTTTATTTGAAGTTTGCTTCTGACAGATTCCTTTTCCACAGATAAGTTTTCCAGACCTGAGCAACTATAATCCAGACCATGCGTGGCCCTTGGTCCTGGACAATTTTGTTGAGTGGGTGAGAGAAAAGCAAAAGTAACAACATGATTCTCTGCTGAAAACTGCTATCATTGATGATGATGATGATGATAGGGTTGATGAATCTGTCTTTTAATCCTTTGAAGAAGACATCACTTTTTATTATAGCTTTCTCTAAATCTGGAAAAATCTTGTTACAGCTGCCCCCATGGAATGCCAACCCCAAGATTTTTCCTTCTACATCGGACTGCCAACTTTATTCTTATTCATTTGTTGGCACTACTTCCATATATAAACAAAGAGAAACTGTCAGATCACCTAAAACAGATATACTGCATTCCCATGTGACTCATCACTCTGTTTTCTCTCTTTCTTTTTTCCTTCTGTTTGGCTTATCTTCTTGTTGGCCATTCTTTAATATGAATTATTGTTTGTTTGATCCCTTTCAAACTACCATTTTATACCATATATGTTGTTGGGATCGGATCCTGATAGTTTCATACATGTTTTTACTTGTTGCTAATATAGTTTTATACCATCATTCTTGAAAAGTTGATATAGTTGCATCCTAACGCCAGTACAGTGTTCCTTTCAATTTACTTTTCTAGTTATTTCTCAAACTTTTTGTACTCTTACCACCGCTCAATACTGGCATTTGCATGTAGTTGTATGTCACTCTGTCAATCAACATAAACAGTCTAATATCTCCAAAAGATGCAGAGATTACGTTCATTAGCTAGGATATCGAATACTACTAATGACAATAATAATCAAATAATCTGAATAATTATATATATGTATATATATATTCACACTTACCTTATGCTTACGTGATGAAGCAGAAAAAATTAAGCAACCTTTGTACAGTGCGTAGTGGAGGTTACGGCACCGTGGCCTTGAAGTAAATTGTAAGTTGACTAGCTTACAAGGTAACAACTACATGGCCTGTCATTATCTGTCAGGATACCGTTGTGGAGTTTGAATGGGTTAAAGAAGATGCATGTTTTAACCTAATGACCCGAACAATGCTCCTTTTTTATTTTTATATTTTTTCAGATACAACGGCTGTAGAATAAACATAGGGAAAAAGTTAATCACTAGGCATATCAGCCAACAAATTAATGCCACAGAAAAAAAGAACATGTAAGGGTTGAGTATAGTAAGCAAGTTAGTTGATACTAAAGAGTTACGTTTAACTGAAAGGGTTTTATATGGTGAATCAGTATTTGAATTCCGGTTCAGTTAAAAGAAAAAAGCAAGCTAATTGACACGCGAATAAGCAAACATGAGTATATGAATGATCATCAACTCTCTCACAAGCTCTTTTTAAATCCTGGCTAAAGTATTAATTAGGTGATTGTTGGAGTGCCCTTTGGCAATTAGAGCTAAGTTTTTTAATGGAATTACTGCTGGTGCTAATCTAACAATGATCTTGTTGCTTTTGGTCCTTTTTTTATCATTAAACAGGAATGGAATGACAGTAGCTAACAAAGGTAGAAAAGTAAAGGGGGTTAGGTTTTCTATATTAGGACGATCCTTTGGGGAAAACAAGAAGCACACCTTGTCAAATGAAATGATTCACATTATCTCTTTCTTGTGTCATTCTCAGCCAAGAAAGAATATGAGGGGAGAAAAAAGAGAGATAATAAAACCAATTTGTGGTCTAATCAACAGTTCAAAGTACTGTTGTTATCTTCGTGGAAGAGAGTAACAAGAAAATTGGATTTGCCTCAATTGTGCCAGTATGGTCAAAAGTAGTTGAGCTCTGTCGTCAGGCTTTATTGACTGTAATATCATGCTTGGACGAAAAAAAAGTACTCCGTTTTTTTTAATCAAAATTAATTAATTTTCTAAATCTCCTGAATTTATGATTTTTTCCTCAAAAAAAGGCTGTATAGTAAAGTCCTTTTCATCAAAAATTAATTTATAATATACATTATTAGAAAATGTATTATAAGAATGTTAATACATATTTATTAACAATAACTAATTTAAACATTTTTTAATATCTAATTCTTATATTAAAAACTATATAATCTCATTTCATAATTTATAAGAATTATTCCTAATTTATAACAACGACAAAGTGCTCATATTAATGTGGATTTCGAAGTAAGCTCAGAACATGCTTCATCATTAAGGTCATATGATCATTTCATTGAAAAGAAGAACACGTCAGACTGGCTCTTCGTGGGGATACAATTGCATGTCTCCTACGAAATACGAGGATCAGATATAAATATTTGATTGCGTCTAAACAAGTTACAATGTCTAAAAATTTGAATCTTCATTTTTTTTTATAAAAAAAAGCATACTGGAAAAATTATTATGATCCTAACATATTTTTAAAATTTTATAAATTCTTCTTACAATTTTATTTGATTATTAATTAACAACATATCTATCTTTCATGCAATGTGCAGTGATTTTTTCATTTTTGGAACTTGGAAAAGACTTTTAAAAAAGCTATATATTACTTTTGGTATTTAATATAAAATTTCATTTGATTTTTATTTGGATCCTAAATATAAAACGCTAATTCATTTTATCTCTTATATTTATTTATTCTTTAAAATAGTTCTTGTAATAATAGTAGTTCGAACCAATACACTTGATTAGTAAGGATATTTTAGAGAAAAATAACACTTATTTATTACAAATAACTAATTTAACGAATTTTTTTAATCTACTCGAATTAGTAAGTTAGCTCTTATATTCCCTTGGTTTGGATGAGAAGAAAAGTTGAGAGGAAAGAAAATGAGATGAGAGAAAATCAGAGAGAAAATATTATCACCTCTCATGTTTGGATGGACAAGAGAAGACAGAAAGGAAAGAAAATGAGTAAATATATGAATAACTAAAATATCCTTTCTGTTATAGCAAAATATATCTTGATTGAAATCAAATTAAATATCATAATGAAAAACCATATTTACATTAACATAAATCATATAATTTAAAATCAAAATATTTGATAAAGATATATTATCATGTTATTATATTTTAATATCAAATAGTTTTGTAAAAAAAATAATATTTTATGTAATGTAATGCTAAAAAAAAGAAAACCAAAGCAACAACTCTATTTATTTTTCTTTTTAGTTCATTTTAGAAGGATTTTGCAATTTTATTTATTTTGTTTTTCAATCAAGCAAACACAAAAGAAAGACTTGATAATAATAAATAAAGTGAAAAGATGAAAATAAATAAATGGGTATTATTTTTCTGAAAAAACATATATAAGGGTAAAGAGGAAAAATATGTTTTCTTCTCATTTTTCTCTCCATATATGGAGAGAAAAGAAGGAAGGAAAATAGACTGTGAGACCCACTTCATTTTCTTCCCAACTTTTCTTTCCTTCCACTTTTCTTCTCTCATCCAAACAGAAGAAAAACCACTTCTCCCCCTATTTTTCTTTTTAATTTTCCTTTCTGTCTCATTTTCTCTCCACATGAACATAGCATTAAGGATCGAAGGTAATATTTTATAAATTTATAAGAAGGTACAAGTATTTTAAAACCAATATCAATTTTTTTAAATTAAAAAGTCATACTATTCTTAACTCATCAACATTATATTTTACCTCAACACTAATGCAATACAGGAAGAAAATGTACGTCTTCTCCTGCAAACAATGATCTTACAATCCTGGTTTTTTTTTTGTAAAATAATTTTTATAACTTAATTTTTTATTAGTTTCGTGGTTATAACTTGAGTTCTAATTGGACCTTCAATAATTTTTTTTTGAAATTTTATTGTCATGTGAAATATATATTACATTGGAACTCTAAATGCATGCAATTTGTGTTATATAATAATAATCAACGAAATTAAGTTGACATGTGACATATTAATTTGTTTTTTGTGAATAAATATTTTTGTATTGAAAGTAATTCAATTCAAGATAAGATTTAAACTTTAATTTATAACATCTTCTAATAACTTTGAATAAAAATTCAAACTTTAGATTGTTATATTGCAAGGGATTAAATTTTAATTTATCATATTGTAAGAGACTAACTTTTATAAAAGGTATTGGTTAAAAAAATTAATATATTGATCTAACATCAAAAATTTAAATTAGAACAATATGGTTATAAATTTTGAAAACTACAAAAAAATAAATTGAGATCCTTAAAGTCAAAACTCAAAAGGCAAAATTTAACATCTTAACGACGGGCCTTTAATGAATTTATTGCAATTAAATTAAATTTTAAAGGGGCCTTTTTATGAGTTGGATGGGAGCAAATAAATTACGGTTAGTGAGTTGATGAGCATTGAGCAACGGGCTAGTGGCAACAACCAGCAAAAACTGAGGCATCTACAAAAAAAAAAAATGATCTCCGGGATTCCTGCCAGTTTTTCTGACATGGTATAAGCCTTATAAGCTGCTAATTGGATGATAAAGAATGAACAAGATTCACAAAATTCAAATTGAGAAAAGGAAAACAAACCTAGTCATATGTTCCTTCTTTCGTTGTGAATTTGAAAACGAAAAGGCAACAAAAAGAAAGATTTAAAAAAAAAAACTTGAAAAAGTTTCAGAACTGGCCTAATAGATCAGGAAGATGCAGAAGAACCAATAATCAATGGTGAAGAAGGAGGACGAGGGCGTCTGGTTCTACTCCTTCCCCTGCGCAATCTGGAGCCAGAGTTCGCCGGGGATGGTGTCGCCGACGCTGATGAATTCGAAGCAGTGGCTTTATTATTATCATTCGACTCGCCCGTTAATGCTTGCTTCTCTCCTTCACAACAGTGCTTATCTTCTATTCTGTGATGCCTCACCCTCGTCGAGTTCAATGTCACCGGAAGAACACAATTGCACAAAAACCCTGCATCTCAATTAATCTTTAATCATCAATACCATTCATTATCCACACATAGATATCGCCAATAATTGCAGAAAACGAAATCTGAGATTATGGAACAATACCGATTCTGGCGAGACGATTCACCCAATTGGGAATAGGATTTCCGGTGAGTCTGATACAAGCATCGTTACAGAAATGGTTGCAGTTCTTGGTGATGAGATTATAGGCATTCCCTTTGTACACGCCGGCGAGCTCTTCCATCACCCGCCTAACCTCCTCGGCTCCCATATCTGTCTTTCCGATCAGTATCGTCTTCCTGAAAGCGAAGCCATCGCACCGTCTAGGTTCGCCTTCGAAAATTCCCGTGGTCGAGTACTCGTGAGCTCCGAAAGCGTACTCTACTCCGTGAACTACAGCCAAATAGCAATTCCGAAACCCTATTAATTCCCTGAGAAATTACAGATCTGAAAATTCAAATTCAAACTGAAAGAGACTTGAGTTCGAAGACTTACCTTGAACGCCGGAATGGTACACGCCGAGGCCGAACCAGTACGCATAGCCGTTAATGGGAGTCAGATCGTATACATTGAGGTACACCGGCACCGATCCTGAACTGCGTCTCCGGGAAGCCTTCCTGCACAGCATTTTACGGCGTCGTTTTCCTAGCGCCTACTTCGACGACTTCATTTCAAAAAGAAGCTTCACTCACTGATGGATCACAGAACTTTTGAAAAAGAGAGGTATGGTGTAAGTATCTTTGCTAAAAGGAAATCAAAATTTGATAATATATCTTCTTCTTTTTTTTTCGGGATGGAGGGTCTGAATTTCGAAATCAAAGAAGAGAATAAGAAACTTCTGTTAATGGGTTCCACCGGCGGCAGGTGGTGCCGCACCGTCTCTGTAATTTTCAGAGAGGGATGGGCATATATAAAATCTGTGTTTGTACATGAATGGCCTCGTAGTCTTTGAGCGAATTTACCATAATGCCCCAGTCTGAGCTGGTCTCCTTCTCAAGCTAAATTATGAGTCTTGTGCACTAGCGAATTTTAATTTTAAATATATATATAGTGATAATTGAGGATTATTGACAACTGAGGCCCTACAATTTTCAAATTTCATGTGAGTGTTTGTCATTTTCAAAATGAATTTTGATATTTTTAAGTTAATATTTGTAATTGTCATTATTTTTTTGAGAAGGCCCTAAAATGTCATTTTCCCTATAAATAAAGTGATTTTTATTTTATAATATATGAATATATTTATAGAGATGTAAGATCCAAATTTGTTGAAAGAAAAAAAAGTATTAAAAAATTGTCTTGGGACAAAGGAAGTAACGCTTGCTATAATGATGGCGGAGAGTGGGGTTTCTTCATTATAATAATAAATTAAAGGGCTGAGATGTGATTAGTGGAAATATATAATATTTTTTTTAAAAAAATTAGAATAAAAGATGATTGAGATGGAAAATGGGGGTAGGGCCCACAGTGGAGGAAGTGGGGTTAATTAATCCTAAATTTAGCTTTTGAGATTAGAGAACAGGGATTGTGATTATGAGAGTGATGCGTGCGGGAGATAACAGTAGTTGGAATTGAGGAGTCCATAATTGAGTCTTCCACCCAAAGTCAAGTAAGTGAGAGGACAGGAAAATTAGAAAGTGACTGACTTTGACCCAAAGGGAAAGAGCAGTCGTTAAGGGAATCAAATCAAAATTAAGAACGACCTCTTTGTCTCTGTGGTGTGGTTTCATGGGGGGTTAGTGATCAACTCACGTGGGGCTTCATTAATATTCACAAATTACTCTTTTTCTTTTCTTAATTCCATATATGGTTCATTCATCAATGTTTTTTTATATATATAATTTCGTCAAATTTTTCATGGGAACTTTGAAAAGATTAATTTAATTATAATTAGATTCTAGTAAACAAATTTTATTGAAAAATAGCTGCAAATAACTAGTAGTGGCCTTACTAGTTATAAAAAGATATTATTATTATTTTTACTTCTCATTAAATTTATTATATAAATGTATGAGGGTTAATATTATTGTTAGTCCTTATAATTTATAATTTGATTCAATTTTGGTTTTGATTCCTATAATTTTATTTTTTTGTTTGAATTTAACAAATAGTCCCAACTATTTAATTTAACGAGTTTTAATTTTGGTTTCTCTACTTAAATTCAAACTAAGCCCTTATAAGATTATAAGGATCAAAACTAACAATTTAAAATTACACGAAGCAAAACTAAAATTGGATTAAACTGTAAGGAATAAGTACAATGATAATAACTCACTGTATAATTTTATGCCTGATTTATTGTTTTGGAGATTATTATTTTCTTTATAATATATATTTAATATGAAAAAATTAAAAATTTATTAAATTTTAATAGGATGATTATGGGATTTAACATTTTTTTTAGTCTGAGTGAAATTTATTAAAGACTTATATGAGCATTTAGTATCCTCAAATATTTTTTGAGGTACATTACATTCAATACCCTTCAAATATTTTTAAAATGTAATTTTGCTTGGAAATATTTCAATTAAATCAATTTTCACCGTAGATGCCAACATCCTTTTATCGCTCCCATTTTTTTCACAAAATATATATAAAAAATATATATATATATTCTGCTTCCCAGCTTCCCCTCCTCCACTCGCGCGGTTGTCTCCCACACCCAGCCATCATTTTTACAATATTACCCTACACATTAACGATAATTTAATTTTAATATTTTATGAGCAAAATTACAGTCCAAAATATTTTACGAAGCACTTTGAAAAATATTTCAGCATTACCAAATGTCCCTTGACCTTTTATTAAAAGTAAAACTACGTTATAAACAGTTACCTGGAAATATAAGTTGACTGTGAGTACTGAATGCTTAATTCACAGCTAATACCCCAGTATTATAACTGTTTCAAAATATATTTGCGCTTATTTTTTAATTCATTTTTTAGATTTAATTATTATTAAATTGATACTTTGAATTCTAAGTGTCATTCCCCTATTTTGATGTGGTTGAAGTCTATGTTTTTCCCGGAAAAAGGAATATTTTCGTTACCCCTGGTTTTGGGTAAAGTTTTAATTACGTTAACGTGATCAAGGCTCAAGGGTCTATAAAGGAACTACAAAGGAAAATTTTTTTTCTTTTTTTCTTTGACCAGGTTATACTAAAGTATGAAAGGAGTTCAGAACAGTTGAGAGATGGGAGATGGATGATATATGTATTTTTTTTTTTGAGCAAAACTATGATATATGTATTTTAAGTTTTGTTTTTTCAGTTGTATAGGGAAAGTTTGAGTTTCAATTACTTCCATATACTTTTATCACTTGATTAATTGGAATCTTCTATAAAGAATTGTCTTACTTTTTTGAGGATTAATTTTTTATAACCATGAATTGAATAATGCTTGCAGCATGTTGCGCAACAGTATGAATCTCAGTATTTTTTGCATTCCTTTCTAAGGTCTTTAAGATCCTAAAGTCGCGTTTGGTATGAAGGATTAAAAATTAGAGATAGCGATTAGAATTGAGATTGAGAAAATCTATTAGAAGACTGTTTAGCATAATTATTGCTTGTTATATGAAATTACCTAAACACATGTACGTGGAATTGAGAAATACTATGGGGAAGTGATATTCTCCAATCCTATCTTTATGGGTTTGTCTAATCCCATGTAACAAGTAATTATTTATGTTATATATTATTTTAATAATTTTTTCAATTTTAATTCTGATTTTTATCTTTTATTTTCAATACTTCGTATCAAACGGGATCCAAATGTTATGAACACAAGGACAAGTTACTTGTATTAAAAAAAAAAAGGGGATAAGTTGTTAACAAAATTAGTTTAGTCAATAAAAAGTTAACTTATAACTCATAAGATTACAAGTTTAAATCCAACTACAGATGTGATAAATTTATTGATAAACAACTTGTAAGCATCTTTATATTTTTTCTAAACTTAAAAGTATGTCCTATACGGTCACCATTGGTTATGATACTTTTTGTTGACTAATTTCTTATACTATTTCTAGTCTGTGCAGGAGTAACATATTTCCCCAATGAAACAACTCAAGACACATTTAATTATGACTTTTGAAAAGTCAAAAATATTTTTTTTAATAATTTATTTTTACTCAAATATTATTTTGACATGTTAGGTTGTGAAAATTAGTTTAGTCAATAAAAAGTTGATTCATGACTCATAAGATTATAAGTTTAAATCCAATTACAAATGTCATAAATTTATTAATAAACAACATGTAAGTATCTTTGTATTTTTACTAAACTTAATAGTATGTCCTATACAGTCACCATTGGTTATGATACTTTTTGTTGACTGATTTCTTATACTATTTCTAGTCTGTGGAGGAGTAACATATTCCCCAATCAAACAACTCAAGGCACATTTAATTATGACTTTTGAAAAGTCAAATGTATTTTTTTAATAAAGTTATTTTTACTCAAATATTATTTTGACATGTTAGGCTGTCAAAATTAGTTTAGTCAGTAAAAAGTTGACTTATAACTTATAAGATTATAAATTTAAATTTAACTACGGATGTGATAAATTTATTAATAAATAACTTGTAAGTATCTTTGTATTTTTTCTAAACTTAAAAAGTATGTCCTATACAGTCACCATTGGTTATGATATTTTTTGTTGACTAATTTCTTATACTATTTCTAGTCTGTGGAGGAGTAACATGCTTCCCTAATCAAACAACTCAAGACACATTTAATTGTGACTTTTGAAAAGTCAAAGATATTTTTTTAATAAATTTATTTTTACTCAAATTTTTTTTTTGTTAGGCTGTTATTATATTTTAAAAAGAAAAGAAAAAAGTATATGTAGAAAAAAATGACTCTCACTCATTTTTATAGAATGAAATGAACTTTGCTAAATGCAATTTTAAATTTTTATGTTGGGTAACCAAACATACCCTAAAAAATGTTGGTGCTTGAATTTTTCGAAATTCTATTCAATTCATTTCCGTCTACATTTCGGGTAATAAAAAAAAAATCAAGGTTCTATGTGCATATTATTTAAAACTTAAAATATGAATTACTACCTCCTGTCCTTAATATAAGACAGTGTTTGACTTTTATTTTGGTTCTAAATATAAGACCCTAATCCACTTTGTTTCTCATATTTATACATTTTTTTTCCAAAGTAACCCTTCTAATAATGATAGTTATAGTTAATACACTTGATTAGCAAGGATATTTTAGAAAAAATAACACCTATTTAGAACAAATAACTAACTCAACTTACTTTTTTAATCTCCTCAAATTAGTCAACTGACTCTTATAATTAGGACTGAAGGTAGTATATAATGATCATGAGTTATCAATATAATACTATTTTTTTGCCAGCAAAAAAAAGTTTTTCATGCTTTCTTTTAATAATTCTGGGTATCTTCAAGTTTTTCATGTTTTTTAATACAAGATTGTTTGACAAAAATAAGACAACTAACATGTACGATTATTTTTCTTTGTTTTTTTAACACTGATTAATATGGATTGAAGTGGTGTAATTACGAGTGGTCTTTGAATATTATAATTAAGAGTAGTGTGTTTTTTCTCCTTCAGTTTTTTGTACTTGTATAAGATAATTACCCGGTTATGTAGTTTTAGGACTTGTTTGGATTTGTGATAAATTTATAAATATTTTTATATAAGTTAAGATAAAATTTTTCTCATATGCTTACATTTTATTCTGTAAATTATGATTAAAAAATTGTTTAACCATCTCAAATAAGTCTTTAAAAGAGATGAAGGTTGAGAAGAATTTTAATGAGTTGCAGAGAATGCTTAAAAAGCCTTCAAAATCCTGAAAAACCATACCAGCAAGTCATTGCATAGCCTAAAAAAA